TATGCACGGAATTCTCTGCTGGTTCCAGGTAGATTGGCCTCTATAGAGCGTCCCYTCAGATTCTGACCTCACACATTGTGCCTTACATGGTCAGGATGCACTGTAGCTTCCTCCCCTCCCCTCTCCATCCCCAGTGGCTTAGAATCTTCTCTCTTCTTTGCCTTGTTTAAGTGATAGGAGAAAAAAAAAATCACACTCTTTTGTTCTCATGGTTAACACTTCACCTGTGATCACCAAAATATGGTGGTGCTAGGGGGCTGGGTAGAGGCCATCACACCAAGCAACAGCCAACAGTAGCTGGGCGTCCTATAGTTCAATTTGATTTTGACACTATGTGCCTAGAATTAATGTCAGACCCCAAGGTTAAGGACTGTCCTGCAAGTTTGTTCCCCTTCAGATGTCAGTTGCACGGAATAGGTTGTCACCTGTGCTCCTTCCAGCCGCTTATAAATCAGGGCTCCCACAACCCCTTCCAGGAGTTTGATTAATTTTCTACATTAGCTCACAGTCTCAAGGAAACATGTATTTATTTATATGAACACCAAAAAAGAATATAGAAAACCAGCTGGATAAAGAAATAACATGGGTCAGGGTCAGGGGAAGAGGACCAGAGCTTCTGTGCCCTCTTCAGATATGTCCCACACCACACTCCGTGTGTGCAACAACTTGGAACTTCTCCCAACTCCATCCTTTTGCATTTTGGTACAGGATCAATAAAAAGCCACAGGCTGGTTCAGTCATTTAGCCTTTGATGGTCAGCTACCATTAACCCTGTCCCCTCCCCAGAAGTGGGAGGAGAGGCTGTTAGCCAGAGGCTAGAACCCTTTAATACAACTAGCCCCCTCTGGAGGCTGTCCAGGAGCCCTCTAGAACCACCTGATTGAAGCAAAAGATGCCCCGTCACCCAGGAAATTCCAACAATTTAGGAGTTCTGTGTCAGGGACCCAGCTCACTGATTAATTCAGAAACAAAGGTTCTTTTATCACCTCATCTACAAGGGTTTTAGCCAAATATATTCCTGTAGTCTTTTTCTTGAATCCAGAAGGCCCCGCATTATTCTCCCCTCTCCATGCTAGCCCCTCCTCGTTCCCTAGGGCTGGAGCTGGTCTATAAGTGCTCCATGCATGCTTTCTTCAGAAGGAATGGCCCGTGACTGAAATCAGAGTTCCCAGGTGTCAGRTTGTTCTTGTCCTTGTGTGTGGTTGTGTGTAAAGATGCTGTACTTACTTAAGTATAATTGCCCTGGCCCCTGGCACTGGTGAATGTTCAGCTTTAGATGTCAACCTGGCGCTTAAGAATGACAGGAGGGGCTGGGATTGTGGCTCACAGGTAGAGCGCTTGCCTACCATGCGTGAGCCACTGGATTCGATCCTCAGCACCACATAAAAATAAAATAAAGGTATTGTGTCCACCTACTACAACAATAACAACAACAACTATATATATATATATATATATATATATATATATTTTTTTTTTTTTTTTTTTTTTTTAAAAGAATGACAGGAGTAGGAATTCACTAGCACACTGGCAGATCCACCTGAGAAGTGTCAGTGAGCTTAGTGAATGGTTTTGGAAAAGCAGATTACTTTTTTTTTTTTTTAATATGGGGATTAATCTTACCACTGAGCCACAGCTCTCGTTCATTTTTTTTGTTTTGTTTCTGTTTGGTTTTTTTTTGAGAGGGGGCTTCACTGAGTTGCTGAGGCTGGGTTTGAACTTGGAATTCTGCAGTCTCAGCCTCCCAAATWGCTGGGATTATAGGTGTGAACCATTGCACTCAGGAGAAGAGCACTTTCATTCTGGAACACTGGTGGGAGTCATTTTTCCATGTTCAATCATAAAGAGTTTGGTCAGCATGGTTGTATTTTCCCTTTAAAACTTAATATACCAAAAATTTTCATTAAAATCAAATTTGGAATGGATTATTTGTGTGTAATACAATCCTATTTCCAATTATCATTCTCTCACAGTATTGTTAAAATATTATTTAATTTATGAAAATTCCATTTTTACACAGTTTTAATTACTTTATAAAAATAGTACTTCTGTATTAGAACATTTTCTTATGTTCAATCCTAAGTTACAGTAATAATTAGAAAAGTAATTTACATTTCTCATAAGGAATCTCAAAACTAAGGAAATGCATAAAGTGGAAGATAAATCTTCATTCTCCTTGTGACTGTCTTGGTTTATATTCTCACAAACGTCTGCATTTATAGAAATGTGTGACTTATAAAATGTTTTTATATATACATATGTATGCTAACAGTATTTTAAGAATACTTGGCCCCTTTTCATCAATTTTGATTGGTTGGAAAATCTGGCTATATCTTCTATTACCAGACAGTCATTTCTCATAATTTTTTAAAGGCTTTGTTAGAAAGTGGAAGTTTGTTTGATGTGTTTAAATTGTGGATTTGATATAGTGTACTGCCTGGAAAATATCAGGACTATTGTTTATTGGCTCAGCTGATGAACCAGTCACAGTTGGTGTATAAGTAAGAATACTCTGATGCTGAGAAGATAGAAGCTCCGTAACTTTAAGGGGCGGACTAAGAGGCAGGGTGCAGGARTTGGCCCTGTCCAGCTGAGGAGCATTTAAGGCTTGTGGGGAGAGTGTGAAACTGGAGGTGTTGTAGGTGGAGGAGCCCTTGGACTTCGTGTGTGGTTCATTGTCCAGCACCAGCTCTTCAGGAGGGGCTGGCAGGAGGAGGAAGTAGGGAAGATAAGAAGTAAACAAAAAAGAGCACAGTTCTTTGAAGTCATGGCTGTTTTGTTTGGCTTGGCAGGAGTGAGATAAAAGGCAGGTTTTTCTACTGTCCTTCCTTTCCCCCCTCCCCTCCCCTCCCATCACTTCTCTCTACCTATTATTACTGTGTGTATCTGCGTGACTGTATGACCAGTATGATTCTGCAACCTGTACACTCAGAAAAATGAGAAATTGTATCCCATCTGATTCAAATGTATGATATGTCAAGGTCATTGTACTGTCACGTATAACTAATAAAACAAATAAAAAATTAAACAAAACAAAACAAAAAGGCAGGTTTTTGAAGGTGAACCAAAGAAAACGTGATTCCAGCTTTCTTTGAATATCAAGCTGAGAAAGTTTAACTGTTTGATAAATAAGTAGGAGCTTGAGGTCTTGAATAGGTGGAATGAGATTCTTGTTAACAGAACAATGTTTCTTGTAGCTAAATTCAGTGAAGTTGGGACAGTCAGACACTTGGGTGGACACCTGCAGAGATGTCCTTTGGTGTTCACTCTTGAATTCAGAAGGAGCACATCAGTAATAAAGTCTGGCTGTCAGCACACAGGGTACACAGTGTCTGCCTTTTATTCCTTCTCTTGCCTCCAGTGTTGGGTTAGATTTGGAGAGAAGGGTCAGAAAGGGAGACAGCCTCACAGCAAATTGGGAGAGACCATAGCTGAGTATCCGCTTTAATGCTTAGCTTATCCCTGTGTGTCAACCATACATCCCATTCCCGATCTGACTTTTAGAGTGTTGAGCTACTCTACAGCCATGGAAAGAAATGGCAGATTACCCATTGCRAATGAATTGCACATAATTAATTTTGCGACTTCATTCGATGGGTCTAGCAACTCTCCAACTTTCCTCACTGAAATCCCTGACTTTCCCAGTTCCCTGGGGAAAACTGGTTCCACCTGGGTCAAAATTCACCTTTCAAAACTGACAGAAACTTATCCCCTAAAGTCCAGTGATCATCTCTAGCAGTTTCTTTCCTGACTTCTAAGCCATTCTCTGATTCTGGAAGGTTGCTACCCCTTTGGTTTTTGCTGTCAGAATGGACTCAAGCTAACTTAATCTAGAAGCCCTCCAGCTCGGCTCGTGGTTCAAGTACAGTCAGTACGTCATGCCGAGTGGTGTGAAGGAATAGGGCCTGCTCAGGCGTGTGGACAGGAAGGAGCCAGAGCACTGCCAAGCCTGCTGCCGCTGCTGGCTCTCCTAAAAGTGCCAGGGCCTCCAGGGGCTGGTGGGCTGGAGTAGTGCCTTAGTTAGGCCTCTGTGGGACCAAGGCTTGCCTTCTGCTGGGTGGCACCCTCAGTTGTTTGTACTCAAAGGTGAGAGGTGGAGTTGGATCTCAAGACCCCTTCTTGGAAATCCCCCTACCTGCCATGAGAATATTCCCTGCCCAGCTTCTCCGCCTAGTCCAGCTTCCTCTGCTGCAGCACAAGGTCAGAGCTTTAATTGGCTAAAGTGCTTTGTAGCTTAGGAAAGCTTTGGACATCCAGACCTTTCTCCCCTCAGTCACCAATACAGACTTGCCTGGGGTCTACTGTACCTCTAAACCAAAGTGCTATCACAGCATTGGTGTGGCCTGTGTGCTCTTCCTTCTTTGAAAACTCTATGTCTGTGGCCAAAACAGAGCTACCCTTCTGCTGTAAGGATGCTTTATTTAGCTCCAACAGCAGGAAAAAATTTTTTTCTGCTTTTTTTCTAAGTAAGCTTATTTTTGCCTTTGCAAACACTTCTAGTACACAGGTCTAACCCTGGAGAATGATAATGCACACTTGGGAGGGGGTGGGAGACCAGGTGGAGATGAGCTCTTGAAGAAGGGCATCTGGCTGGTAGAACTGAAAGGGGACAACAGAAGGAAGAGGTGGGTCTGAAGGCTCCGAGTCTAGATTTCTAGAACATGAAGATGGCAGTGCTAATGATGATCCTTTCAAAGAAGAGATTGTTTTTGTGTGTTCTGTGATGTTTCAGACACCAGGAACAAACATCTCTCTGGACAGTGGGAGGCAGAGAAGGTTCTGGTGGCATTTGTTGGCTCTTGGCTTTTCTGCCTTCAAGTTCTGAAATGGTGAGCCAGGGGCCACACCTTCCAGCTTTCCTCCTCCAAGCTTTGGAGCAGACTGTGTAGAGAAGCCTCTTGTAAACACGGGACACTGTGAGAAGACAAGATAGCCTGCAGGGTGTTCATCCACAGTGGGCCGGAGCCAGTCAGTCACGTCTCTGTATCTTTTTCTCTTAGGTTCATTTTCCAGACACTGAAAGAGCAGAATGGCTAAATAAGGTAAGATTAGAATATTCCAAATACCAGATATCAGTGGGAATTAGAGGATGAGAGACCATCTTTCCGTATTTGGGAATTTGGATGTTGGCATGACTAGAGCTCATTTAAACTGCAGTGGGAGGCTCTCGCTCCCCAGAGAACTGGGTCTGCTGCCTTCCTCCTGAGTCAAGGCTTACCGCTAACCGAGAAGACTTGGGGCTCACATTGCATCACTAACTGGCCTGTGTCTCCCTTTCTGAATGTAGAGCATTGAGTCTACTGTATGATAATCACAAGCACAAATTCAGGAAATGTTATTATAAGAAGGGAAATAATTCCCAAGAAACCTCGCAATGTATAATATGCTTTTAAGATATGTTTTAGGATTAGTAGACTTTGAGCCAGATCTTTATCTTGTACTTTGTGTATCTCTGGGGCTGTGTGTGAACACTCACCTAGATAGTAACCCCTGTAGCCCTGGTAGTCTGTCCTTAAACAAAGTCCCAGGCACTCACTAGAATCTAAGCAGTTAAGGTRTCCAGCAGTGAGTTGAAATCAGTCATCAGATGTGCTGACAACAGACTATTATAGAGCTTGTTCCTACAACACAGTGGTTAATTAGTATTTTATCATCATAAGTTTTTGAAGTTTAAATTATAAAGTGTTGATTTATATAACAAGAAAAGCATTTCCCCCTTTTAATTTTTAAAACCAGATTCTGGCAAGCTACAGGATTATAATTTTTCAGGATAGCTCAGGCACTTGTGTATCACAGTGATTGTTAACATGAGTTCTTTCTCCTTCCAGACTGTAAAGCACATGTGGCCTTTTATTTGCCAATTTGTAGAGAAACTTTTTCGAGAAACCATAGAGCCAGCTGTGCGGGGAGCCAATACCCACCTCAGCACCTTCAGCTTCACCAAGGTGGATGTGGGCCAGCAGGTCAGCTGCTTCTTGGTGTCTTATTGTGCACACGGTAGGATTACTGTCAGAACAAGACATCATTAACCACTCCACATATTCCAGAAGGAACTGTCCACCAAGAGCCAGCCTGTGTGTCACAGTGCCACCCAGGACCCACACCCACAGGGTGCCTTCTGCCCAGGGCAGTCCCCACATTGCCCACATGCTCGCTGCGCTTCTCCACCAGCTCAGCCTCCATTGGGTACTTTCTCTCTGACTCTCGCTTTGTCTTCCATAATGTGTCTTTCTGCCCCACATTCTTCTGGCAGAACTGCCTTTTAGATGTACAGTCTGACATTTTAGAGTTCAACATGTGAATTCACACGAAAGGTCCAGTAATTGACAACAAGTTTTATGTATTTATCTTATCCCTCTCAAGATGTTAAGAGCAACAGCTAAGGATACCTGCTAGATGGCAGGATCATGTTCATTACCAAGAAGAAAGGAGAGCTGCTGGTTGCTGATGCCACCTCTAATGAAAGCTCAGGATTGAATTTAAATAACTTGGGCATGGCAAGTTTCTTTCTTTCTTTTTTTTTTGTTTTTGTTTTGCTGTACAGAAGTTCAACCTAGGACCTTGCACATACTAGGCAAACACTCTACCACTGGGCTAAACCTCCAGACCTTTTTATTGTATTTTGAGACACAGTCTAACTAAGATACCCAGGTTGCCCCAAACTTGTGATCTCCTGCCTCTGAAGCCTCCAGAGTAGTTGGGATTGAAGGTGKGAGCTGCCACATTCAAGTTTCCAATTTTTTGTTTGTTTGCTTGTTTTTAATTTTAGTACTGGGGATTGGTTAAGGRTGCTGTACCACTGAGGTACATCCCAGTCCTTGTTACTTTTTGTTCCGAGACAGGGTCTTGCTGGGTTGTTGAGGCTGACCCAGAACTTGCCATCCTCCTGCCTCARCCTTAAGTCAGTTTTTATAAGAATTACCAACAATTCAAGGTAACATTGTTTTATATGCCTAATAAGAACTGGAGTCTGGTTATACTTTTAAACCCATACATAGTTCACACACTTCAGTGCATAGACAGCGCTCAGGTGTCATCCTGTGGTGTGGCTCAGGGCTGTAACAGATAGGGCCTAGGGAGTGTCTAGCGGGTGCTGCACATGTCACCTCAGGGCTGTGTCGGTGTCCATCCTATCTCTACTGGTTGAAAGTTACTTTCACCCATCACATCTGGTTCATGCTTGTGGAGGATGCTCACTGCATATGGAACCCTGTGGTCATTCCATATGCAGTGTCTGCAGCGCAGGGCCACGCCCAGCCCAGGCTAGGATGGCTTCTTCCCTTAGCTTTCCGATGTCCACTAGGATGCACAGCTGCCCTGTTCAGGTGTCCCAGTATCTGCACAGGCTGCCTGGGTGACCCTGTGTGGGTAGTGCTGCTTTACTTCCATGAGCTAAACTGATAGTAGCAGTTAGGGAAAACATGGATACAAGTTAAAGTGCTGGGAAGAAGCGTCACAAGCCTTTCTGTGACTATCTGGATGGTACATATTCAAGCTCTTCATGGCGTTTTCTTCTCTTTTTCTTTTTAAAATCCTTTAAAATGGTGAGAACCATTCTTAGCTACAGACTGTACAAAAAATAGGACAAAGATCACTGCAGCTTACAGACCAAGTTTACTACTGTCCCCTACTGGAAAGAATGCAGTGTTTATGGAGATTTAGAAGTCTAACCTCCGCTGCGTTTATTATTAATGATATTCATGTTCTGTTACACATGCTTTAGTTTTGATGCCAACTAATAAGATCCTTGGAGAAGAATGAAGCAATAGAGTGATGGTTAAAGAACACCTACGGAAGAGTGACAGTCGAGGAGGACAGGTCACTGGAGACCTAGGGGAAGGGTCACAGGAGAGAAAGGGAGGTCACTTAAGGTGGCTTTCATATTACTGTCTACCCCATAACATTTCTTAAGTGGCCACTAACCCTTGCTGTCCCTGCCAGAACTCCAGAGCGTGAATGGAACCCATTTGTGGAGCTTTCTCATGTGAGGTCACTCTCAGTCATCTGGAGTTGGGTTCTTCTTAATGCTTCCCCAAGATGGCACTTAGGCTTGGGAAGGGCATGTGTGGTCTACTGCGCATCCTTAAGTAAGGGACGTTGTAGGTAACCCATTTTCATTTCCCACAGAGTGGGCTGATCGGGTTTCTGAGTGGTTCCTCAGTGTCCACGTGTCTTGTCTTGTTTTTAAGTGAGCTTTTGCATCATTGTGGCCGAAATACCTGACAAGAACAACTTAGAGGAGGGAAAGTTTTTTGGAGGCTCATGATTTTAGAGATCTCCAGTCCATAGATAACCAACTCCATCCCTCTGGGCCCAACATGAGGCAGCACATCATGGAGGAAGGGTGAAGCTTATTGCAGTGTCAGAAAACAGAGGGAGACCTCAAGGAAAAAGCACCCCCCAGGGTAGATCCCAAGTCTCTTCTGAGACCCAAGGCAAACTCTTGGCTGTGCACCCCTGTAAAAATCAATAGCAAGTTATATATATATATATATATATATATATCCAATATAGAGTGGTACGGAGTGAACATTCTCATTCCAAAGGACTAGGGAATGGGGCATAGAAATAATGGGTGAGCCCAAACTAAGATTGAAACCCAGCTGGGCAAACAGATTTCCTAATTCTGCTTGTGACTCTGTACAGCATAGGACATAGGGCAGGGAGATACGTTCTACAGAAGCCTGGCAGCCTGGCCCTTGGCCATGCTGGGTGCAGCACACGTCTCCTCAGCCTTGCTCTCTGCATGGCCAGCAGCCTTTCTCAGCAGACAATGCACATTACTGGCATCTTTAATTTCTAGGGTCTCCATTCCACCTTCACTTGCACAGCTTCATTCAGGACTCAGACTCTGCTACTATTTGCCTGGCTCCCAGGCCTGTCTTTGAAATAGGCATGGGAGCCTCCTGGTTTCCTCAGCTCTAGCATGCTGCATTCCTGCAGAACCAGCACCATGTGGATGATGCAGAGGTCTGCCAGCTAGTGCAATACCTGGACCCTGGAATTATGAGTGCAGTAACCTCTAAGTGCCTGCAAGGTTCATCATGGTGAAGCAACTTCCTAGACCCCCTGTGTTAGCAGGGTGCTCCCACTATCTCTTCTCAAGGGAATTTTTCTTTCTGGACCCTTTAGCCTGCAATGGGTAGGGTTGGTCTTACAAATTCCTGAGGTGTCCTAAGGGCATTTTTTTCCTCTTCCTCCTCTCTTCTGTGCAATTTATTTATTTATTTATTTATTTAATTTTTTTTTTTAGAGAGAGAGAGAGAGAATTTTTTAATATTTATTTTTTAGTTATCTGCAGACACATCTTTGTTTATATGTGGTGCTGAGGATTGAACCCGGGCCGCACGCATGCCAGGTGAGCGCGCTACTGCTTGAGCCACATCCTCAGCCCTCTTCTGTGCAATTTAGAAATTGTAATCTATTTCTTGTCCCCAGTTTTATAARCATTCTTCTGATCAAATTGCTTGTTTTTAAAATCCTTTAGCCTTGCTTTCTACTCCTGATTCTCATAGTAAATCTGGCTAAAACATGTCTGCAAATGCCACAAATGAATACTGTACTGCTTTGAAATTTCCTCTATTAAATAAATCTTTAGTTCAGGGGCTGGGGCTATAGCTCAGCAGTAGAGTGCTTGCCT